ATCATATCTCACTCATTTTAAATTTGTTTTACCGTTATTATATATCCACAAAAAACTATGAACGAGTAGATCATAAAAAAAAAAATCATATCAAATTTTTGAACACGCAAAATGCAAAATACAGAAAAATAGAGGCAGTTTTTCTTAAGAATTGAGTAATAAAATATTAAAATAAATAAACCACAAGAGTTACTATCATTGTAGGAGAAGGAATCTTATTACAATATGAGTTAGAATCAGCACAAGGAATCCTATCTACAATGTGATTAATCCACATTCAAAAAGAATTCAAAAAAAAAAAAAAAACATAACCACTTCCCAAAAAAAAAATACCAATTTTCAAGAAAAAAATAGTTGCAATTTATTCCTTTCAACAAGACAGTAAATACACGATAAATCATATGGAAGCATCAAATAACAAAATCAACCAACCACACTCTTATACCAATGAAAGAAACTTAAGAGCAAAACAACAGAGTGTGTACCTTAATACCTGCAGCGGAAATTGTTGATGTTGATTTCGCTATCAAAACGAGTTGCTCCAAATCTTTCTTTGAATCACTAGGAAACAAAGATTGTTCTTGTTCATAAACTAAGTGTTTGTAGTGTGTCGTTTGAATATTGGAAAAAAAAGTAACGTTTTGATTTACTCCGTTTTCTCTCTTTTTCTTCACGTTTTGTTATTGTCCCTCGTCTGAAAAGAAGAGATCTCCTTTTAAAAGGAGAGGTTTGAACAATTACAACTTCTTAACTGTTCCTTCTTCTTTTCAAAAACAACCTTATCAATTATTTAATTCTTTTTCAAAGATTAAATAAAACGGATCAGATCGAATTGGTCCACATGGATTGGCGACCGTACCCATGACCCACCAAAGACTTAGATAACATCTCTTAATTGAATATTTACTTCTTATATGACATAATGGAGATATTTGTAGTCTTCAAGAACAATTATTTTTATAATAAAAATAAAATAAAATTAAAAAAATTATGTTAACTTCTAAAATAATACAAGTATTTTGATATAAATATTTCTAGTAAATAGACAACTATTTCGAGACGGGGGCGTAAGTTTTCACTTTCGTGTGCGGATAATATTGCTAGGTTACATCATGCATGCAAATCTTTTATTTAATTAAAAAATAATATGAGTTTATGAAGTTTTTGATAACGCCTCTTTAATTTTAATTTTGCGTTCATTAATTGGCAATTAAAAATAAGAATGAAAAGTCGCTAACTATTTGTGCGTATGGATCAAAAGCTGGCTGCTACAATTAAGCCATGTGCAACATGATGCTTATTTTTTAATTTTCTAAAGATAGCCTAATGGCTGCGTGACTTTCTTCTTAATTACACCACAACTCCAATGGGCAAGTCATAAAGTTATAATTTTGATTTGGGTTTAATTAGTTTGTTTGATACAATTGAAAGTGTCTTTGAATTTGTTTTTATAGAATAAGTAATTACTTTTTTTTCAAAAAAAAAAAAAGTATTTTTTAATCTGAGGATTGCTCTTGAGTGGGGATCATGGTGAGTCTTGAGTTGAAGGCAGACCAGGATCTGGATTTGATAAGGGTGGAGGTTGAATCTATAGAGATCAAGGTTGGTGTCACTATAACTGAGGATCGGGATCAAAGTCAAGAGTATGGGTGGATCGAGGACAGGATTCTGATCGAGATTCGGGTCAGGGTAGAGGTTGGGTCCTAATAAAAGTTGGGATTCGGGGTTGGGGTCAGATAGGGAGTCGAATTTTGATCTCGAGTTAGGATATGGGTCTGGATATAGGGTTTGATGTTAGGTTGGGACTTGGGAGTCAAGGTCATGATCATAGTCGACTTAGGGTGAGTTCTTGTCTTGGGTTGAGGTTGGGGTTGGGATCGAGATCATGATAAGGGTTGGGCTTCAGTCCTCAGGTCGGGGTCTAGGTCTGGGTGGATTAGGCGGTGGTAAGGTTAAAAGAGAATTTTTGAAAATGTTTTTTTTTACTTTATTAAAGAAACCCATTTTCTTTAAATTAGAGAAAAATAAGTCTATTCGAAAATTATTTTTTAAAATATTTAAGTTAATCAAACATGAGAAAATTGAATTATTTTTTTTTTATTAATGTTATCCATTCATATCAAACATATTCTTAAAGTAGAATTTTTATTGTTAAAACTGATTTCAATCTAGCGATTTAAAGTTTTTTAATTTTAAGAGATAATTGTGAGTCAAAACCATTTAACCTAAATCCTAATCAATATCTTACCAAATTCATATAAGTGAATTGCAGTTCAATCTATTTAAGTTAAATTAGCTCAAATTCAATTCAATCCGTTCATTTTGTAAACACCATTCGTTTTCCATAATAATAATAATAATAAAATGTCCCTTTAACAAAAAAAAAAATCAATAAATAAACAAATAAATAAATAAATAAATAATTGATCTAATACCGTAGAACAAATTGGTCCATACTTTTACTTTTACAGTCAAAGTCAAACTTTCTTATTCCATGCAACGTGGAATCTCTTTACTTCAAATTTGTGGCTGAATAGATCATCTAAATCTAGGTCAAACTCGACACCATGGTTTATCAAATTAAACTGTGATTGGGTATTCCCCTCCGATCAATTTTAGTTATTTTATTCACTTAAAAGTAATTGATTAAAAAAATACTTTATTCGTTTCAATTTATTTATCTTTTATATTAATTTTTTTCTTATTTATTTTAACAAATCAAAAGACTTTTATTATTCATACTAATATTAATACTTAATAAAATAATAATAGTGAAATAAAGAATTACAAAATATTATTAATAAAATTAGCTTAATAAACACATTCTAAAAAAATTAAAAAATTGTGTCAAGTCATGAATATGAGCTCAGTTAAATAACTTTATTTATTTGGTACAATTAGTTTAATAAACACAATTAATTAAAAAAACATTAAAAATTGTATCAAGTCATGAATATGAGACAAATTAAATAATTTTATTTATTTGAGGTATAAAACTGATAAATTATTATTATTGTTCATATAATTAGATCAAAATTATAGAAAAAACTACACTAAAACAGCAGCCAAAACTATACTAAATCCATCAGAAACTACATTAAAACAATGGAAAATGCATAAGTACCCCTCAGCCTATACCCGAAATCCCAGAGACACACCTAACCTTTACTAAGGTCCTATTACCCCCCCGAACTTATTTTATATGTAATATTCTACCCCTTTTTGGCCTACGTGGCACTGTCTTGTGGGCCCAGCGCATGTTGACATTTTTTCGAGGATAGTGCCACGTAGGCCGAAAAGGGGTATAATATTATAGATAAATTAAGTTCGGGGGGGGGGGGGGGGTAATAGGACCTTAGTAAAGGTTAGGTGTGTCTTTGGGATTTCGGGCATAGGCTAGGGGGTACTTATGCATTTTCCCTTAAAACAATAGTAAAGCAAAACAAATTCAAAAAATTAAATAATATAAATGAATAATTAAATTAATAGAAGTGATAAAACTCTCACATAATTTAATATAAATAACACTATGAAAAATAGAGAATAATAAAGTCTCACATAACTTAAATATGTATTTGACAATTTCACCGTAATTCGCCAATCTTTTCTTTTTCTTTCAGTGTTTTCACTCAAAATTCAACTCCGCAGGGGCAAGCTGTGGCCCCCACTAACTCCACCAACCTTTTCCTATCTAGATTCTAGTTTCAGCATAATCTTTTCAAACTAAATTCATTTGTTCATGAATTTTTTTACTTTTAAAAAAAATAAAATGACACATCTTTAAATTATAAACATATCAGATACATTAAAATGGTTATCAATTTAAGATTTTAAACACATACAAAAAATAAACAAAGTCTTTTTTTTTCAAAATTCACTTCTAAAGTCGCATCTTTCAATTGGAGTTGAAGTCTAAAGGAGAGTACTTTCGAGTTGTCATTTGCCCAATCATGTAAAAAGTTATAATCAAAACATTGCTAAAAATAAATGTTATTCTTTTAAAACAGTAAATAAAAACAGAGGAAAAATTTCTTTCAATTTTTTATTTGTGTTATTTACGAAAAATCAACATTTGATTATAAGAATTTCTGAATTTCAATACAACTTTAAGTTGTATTTGGTATTTGATAAATACCCAAAACCTTATTTACTTTTTTTTTTCACCTTCACTATATTTATTTTTTTCGTATTTTAATTTTATTTAAATTATATATATATGGAGAGAGAGAAATTACATTCTGACAATCTTATATTATTTATAAAAATTATAACAAAACACAACCCTCATCATCAACTCAAACTTAATAAATTTTAACAAGTAAAATAAATAAATTTATAATAGCATACAATAGCTCGAATTAAATCTAATCTATCATATTATTTAAATTATCTATTTTGAAATAATACCCATAAAGTAAATTTATTGTATATTTCACATAAATTATTCAAGTTGAGTATTCTAATAAATTCTTTAAAATGTATAATACAGTCAAACACAATTTCATATCCAATTTTGAATTCACTTTAAAATAAAGTGAATTCTATTTTTATTTTCACGGCCAAACGCGTCATTTATCAAACTTCAATTTCCTTTTCATTTCTTGGTTGACTGACGATACCCACCAACTCCACCACCTCATTCCGCCGTGCTCAGCTCTCTTACTCTACGTCTTCTTAACTCATATAAGACGCAAGTTTTTGTACCTATAACTGAAGACCAATTTTGCAGTTCAACTGTTCGACGATTTGCCCCAATTAATCACAACGTAAATTTCTTCTACTCTAACCTTTTTTCAATTTCAGTGAATTATCTATCTCTCTGATAAATTGGAAGTTGGGAAAAAGATAAAAGTTGAATTTTTTTAAGGTTGTTTTGTTCTCTGTTTGCTCGTTTGGACTCAAGTATTTGTAAAGTAAAAATATTGTATATTGTTTCGTTTTTGGAAGAGTTTGGTGATATATGATATTTGGGAATTAAATATATTGTGGAACGAATAAAGTTGTGTTTACTGAAGCAGATGTTTGTTTGGAGTTGAAGCTGGTTGGTTGATCTATGGGTATTACTGTTTGTGGTGATAGTTGTTCAATTTCAAGGGTAAAGTTTGTTGTTATCATAATGCTGCTTCAGACCCTTTTCAGATTTGTTTAAGTTTGGAGAGTTTAGGGTGCTATATCTTAAATTCAAAGTGTATATTTGCATAGGCAGAAGAAGGTCTATTGCAGTGATATAAGGTTTCAGTTGCAGTGTTGAGAAGGGTATTAAAGATAATATATTTTGGAGTTTAGTCATTGTATTGAAGTGTTTGAGATGGATAATTCAAATCGGTCATACAGTAGGAATTCTGATCATTTGGGTGTGAATAAATTTGGGAAGAATATCAACAAGAGTCCTCCTATACACCAACCCAATTTCAACAATGCAAATAGTGCTAGGCAACAACCTCAACCTCAGGTTTACAATATTAACAAGAATGATTTTCGGAGCATTGTTCAACAACTGACAGGTTCACCATCTCAAGAGCCTCCAGCTAGACCTCCCCAGAATCCTTCTAAGCCTCCGAGTATGAGATTACAAAAGATTCGGCCACCACCTTTGACTCCTATAAATCGTCCCCAAATTCCAATCCACCCTCCAGCACAGATCCCTGCCCCAGCTCGACCTGCAGGTGGTGTTCCTTACCAGAACAATATTGTAAGACCGCCTCCCCACTATGGTCAGCCCTCACCGCCTATGTTACCTCCAACTCCTGGAGATGTTTGGACAAATACAACTGAGTCTCCAATTTCAGTTTATATGCGTTATCTTCAAAATTCAATAATAGATTCAGGGCCTAAACTAACACAATTTCAAGGTCCTGGTCATTTTCAAGCACATCCAGCATCATCTGGTTTGCTTCCTAATCCTTCAATGCCACCTTTTCCATCTCCTAGAATGAATGGCCCTCCTCCTCTCCCATTTGCTCGGATGAATGGTCCTCCTCCGCGTCTTCTATCTCCTAGAATGAATGGGCCACCTCTTCTCCCATCTCCTAGAATGAATGGTCCTCCTCCACCTCTTCCTTCTCCGGGAATAAATGGGCCTCCTCCTTTGCCTTCACCTACTTCTCAGTATCTTTTGCCTTCACCCACTGGCTTCTTGAATTTGTTATCTCCCCGTTCCCCTTATCCATTTCTTTCTCCAGGTATGCAGCATCCTCCACCGCTGACACCAAATTTCTTCTTCTCTCCTATGGCACAGCCTGGAGGTTTTGGCGCTGGACCACAATTTCCTCCTTCTCCTGGTTATGGATTTCCGTTGTCACCTTCTGGGTTCTTCCCCATGTCAAGTCCAAGATGGAGGGGTCAATAGCACCACCACGAAGAGAGCTGCTGATCTTGATGAATTCTTTGCTTCGAGTTTTGTCAAAGTGGTAGATCTCTTTCAAATTAAAGCTTTTTCCCTGTGGATATGCAGTGTACACAATGTAAGAGATCCTTCTGAACGTGTTTATACTTTTTTTCTTTGTTTTTCTTAACATATATTTCAAATATTTGACTCTTTCAATGTAGAGTTTGTAGCAGATGTATCTCTTTATTTGCGTAGCCCTTATTTAGTACATTTAGCAACTCTCAACTGAATAGTTGAAAAGGTCAGGCTTGTTAGATGATAGTTAATTGAATTTTATATGTAGCTGGAAAGGTTCTTGTATTCCTTGTAATGTCAACTTTGGGATCAAATATTTTGGTTCTTTTTCCTATCATGTAGATCAATTTTCAGTTTGTTGCCTTTGGGATCAATTGTTTATTTAAAGAAAATTATCTGCTTATTGTTTCATTTGTGAATGATATCATTATCCTTTCTGCCATACAGAACTATGTTTATATCCCTCTTCCTAATTTTTTCTTCTCACATGGTCTTCTCCAAAAAAGTCCCGGGGGTTTGACTGGCTGACTGTTTTAGTTGAAATAATATCTATGCTAAATTCCGTATGAAAAATACAATATTTGTTTGTTATTTTGTAGTCTTGTATTCCTGCATTAGGTATGTTGCTATTTTATTCCCAGTGTAATATGGAGTAACAACACACTTGGTAGTTGTTACTAAATAGCAAATAGCAATACATGTAAAAGAACACACAAATGACAAAAGTGTCGTTTATTTATTTATTTAATTAATTAATTATAGTTAACCATTTCTTACTCATTATCTGTCATTTGTTTCCAATAGTGTTTGTAGCATTATATTTGAAGTTATAAAAAGGGTGATTTAAGTACCTTTTTATATTTAGAAGATGAATGCCGTATTTACTTTTTCGTACTTATAAAGAAAAGAGTTCGGTTTTCATTTATCCCTTTGTCTCATATTTTAATGTCAAAAAATATGTAATTTAACATGTCAAGAATGTTAATTTTTGATTTTCTGATTGTGTGAGTTGCTCATTTTCTGGAGGAATGCTCTCTCATTTGGTTGCTTGGCAGGTGAAACAGGTAGAACTATTAGGTTAATACCATATTAATATTAGGGGAAAAGAGAGGAGGGTTTGGAGGTGGAAAGGGTCAACAGATCTGAGTAATTGTAAGTGCAGTTCCTAATTTCATTGAGTATACAATAATCTATCTATTCAATCAAATTATATGAACCTCTTTGGTAATAGCAGAACACTGGATATTCTTGTCCTGAGTGACTCTGGGATGATGCTTTTAGATGTGTCCTCCTTATAAAACAGAACGATATCCCTTAGTACACTATCTGTCTATAAGTCGAATGTAGGTGCTACATGTATATGTTGCTGAAGCATTCTATTGCAGTATCACCATTTTAGACCAGCGGAAGAAGAAAACCTAAGAAACTCATTTTTAATTCTGAAAACAAACAAATGATAGTGGATGATGTTTGAGGCAGATAGAGGTTAGAAACAATGTTAAAACCTAGAACATTCCACATTTGCATAAGTTGGTGAAGTACGGCCCAGGACAGTTATGCAAGGTGATCTCTCAAATGCAGATTACCATTTTGTTTGGAAAAGTGAAAGCATATGAATGGTTAACATCCCAAAGCTGTTAAACTGTTTACAGCTCCCGAAAGCTGTTTCAGAGTCCTATAAATTTACTCTGCTCATATTGTTGGGATCTTTTGGAGGTTATCTTTTATCACTACAATAGACTCTTACTACCTTCGATCTAATACATTTTGTTTTCATATGCACTGCACAGATACATGTATTATCATATGTCCACAGTAGTTTAAGTGTGTTTCTTTCATCTCTTTAGCATACTTGTGATACTAGTGGCAGTAATTTGCTCATGTGATTTGATACTTAACAATCTTGTTGCTGTTAACGGTGCTACCCACAACTAACCACTTGAAGTTTTCCGCATTGTTTTGGGTCTTGGTTTGCGGCTATCATGTGATGCCTCATATCTGTTGATGATTATCTTGTCATGTTCTCATCTTTCAGTTGAATATTAAATTGCTTTTAGTGGCTGATCTGGCTGCTTCATCCAGTTAAGCTATAGCCTATAGCCTTCTGGAAGAAAAATCCCAGTTTGATAGTATTGAATGAGCTTTTCGCTTTACCATCTGGCCAATAGAATGTGTTCCCATTGCATATAAAGTCAGGAGACTGGTTTGTTTCCTCCTACTTGCCTTAAAATAAGTTGTTTTTAGGCCTATAATTTCTATGATTCATGCACCAAGGGTTACAAGGCAAATGCAGTATGATGACTTTAATTCATCAACTTGTTGCTAACTGCCAAACTTGTTTGCTGTATGCTTTCCTCATTGCAAAGATATGTTTGCGTCTGTGTCTGCATATAGAACAGTGAGATTAAAGATTTTTATTTGTCTGCTGGAAGTTGACGGGTGATATGATGCTTCATTCGTCAATGAAAAAATGCACATCAAAAACTTTTTAGTACTAAGTTACAACAGTTGAGGCCAACAAAACAAATTAAGATTTGCAACATCAGTCTGATATCACGGTTCCAAATTATGAAATCCCTTCAATATGTTGTAGAAATTTTAAAAATTATAACTACCTATTTATGGTTGGAATGGAGCAAGTAACGTTCCATTGAACTTAGATTATACAATGCTAATATACTGAATGCAATCTCACAAGTAGGGTCTGGAGAGACGGAGTAAAGTGATATAAGCTTTTAATTATTTGGATTGGTTTGGTTGGAAAAAATTAAAGAACTATTTACTGGAATATGATGTCAATTGGTTACCGATTGGTAGTTTCTCAGGCATCGACTACCCCCACTAACAAAAAAGAGCCCACACCATTTTGGACTGACCATCATTGATGGAGAAGCCAAGAAATAATCTGAGTCATTTCTTGATTGGTATACCACATGAATAAATCTTGAAATACTGGGGCAAAAGTATCTTACAGTAAGGATTTAATTAGCTGTACAATACTATTTAGGGACACTCTCATGTGGAATAGTACTACTACATTCAAATTTAGAATAAATAAGAAAGGGACCTTTCTTTCCATTAAAGCAGAATAGGTAATAAAAGTCCATCAAAGATGGTAAGTGATAAGTATTTCTTTATCGTTAATTAGATGTTTTGAGTTTGAATCTTAGGTACGAAAAATCGAATGAAAAAAAAAAAGAAAAAAAAAGGAGATAAGAGAGAATCATTCCTGAAAACTACTTGGACCGTAGAGTGAAGACAAAAGAACATGCGTGTCCACGAATAGGAATGTATGTGCTTCTTTGCAGGATGAAAAGTTTACTATTTATAATACAGAACACTAATAAATGATGTTAAATTCAACAAAAGGTCCTACAAGTAGCAATGAAAGCAAAAAGAGCAACAAAAACAATAGAGCCAATTAAAAATAAGAAAAAAAAGTCATATATAACTTATTTATTATTGTAACGACATGTTCCCGTCATTATAGGAAAAGTCAACGGGAAAAAATTTTGAGCCGGAAAACTTTTTCGTAGTATCTTGAGATTTCCCAACCTAGTCCAGATTTGGACGAAATCAGAGTCATTAAAGTCTAGGGAAATCTGGTAGCAATTAGGTGATCTAATTATGAATTTGATTACATGAGTAGATAGATAAGTCGTTAAGAAACCCGTACGACTTTACGAAATTAAATTCAGGCGAGTAGAACTCCCGAAATTGATCGTAGCGTGAACGGGTAGTTTCTGAGTGTCGTTGGTTGAAGGTGCATTGTGAAATGGAGTCTTGGAATTATTAATTTTGCTCACTGGTTCCGTGCAAGCTGCTGAGATTGGATTTCTGCCACCAGGGCGGGGCCGCTGTAGCGGGGTGGGTACCGCCGTGGCGGGGCAGACGTGACTTAAAGTCGAAAATAAACCCCAAAAATGTTTTATTATGTAATTTTCGAACTTGAGAGCTAAGGAACGAACCCAGTGCTTTTCTTGACAGTTTTCCACCATTCTTGAGGCTAAAGGTAAGATTTTCACTCCCCGAATCCGTTATTCGATTCGTAGAACGTAATCTAATGGGTAATTATCGATGGGGAAGGGTTTTGATCTGGGAATTACAGTGGGAAAAACCCTAATTTGGATATTGGGATCATGAGTTTGATTTAGGGTTGATAGGATTGTTAGTAATCCGGGTAATTTGTGGTTATTTATTGATTTTCGTGTTATATTGATTGTTTGTAGACCAAGAACAGCCAGAACGAATCCGGAAAGGGAAGGATCAAGTTTCTTAAGGGATTCAAGCTTTGTTTGAGGTAGGTGTTGGTTGTGATTCTATAATTCTGTGATGTATGTTTGTTCTTGCTTCATTATGATACATGTATGTATGCGAATGTTGCATTATTGATCACATTAATTGTAAATGAGGATATATGAATGAAGAATGCCATGACTTGATTGTATGATTATGAGAATGTACTTTGTGATTGTGATTGTGGCTTGTTGAATGGATCGGGTGTTGCGTTCCGACACACTAACTTGGATCGGTTTTCACGTTCCGGCATAATTATGGGATCGGTCGCCACATTCCGGCATAATCATTGGATCGGGTACCACGTTCTGGCATAATCATTGGATCGGGTACCGCGTTTCGATAAGCTAATAGTTTGGGTTTTATGAGAGGACCATTGACTTGACATAACTGTATAATTAAGACTTGTCAAATGCTCCGTTGTTCTTGAATATTGTTGATATTGTATATATTCAGTATATGCATGTTGTTATATTGTTGTAATGACTTATATATGTTGCACTTAGTGGGATAGCCGTGTGATCCTACCAGTACATTGTAGTTGTGTATTGATATTGCACTTGCTCTTTCTTTGTTGAGTACAAGGCATCTTCAAGTGGCTATTAACAGACCTCGTTTAGAAGATCAGTGATCGTTCGAATTCAAGAGTGAGCCAGTTCTTCCGGGCTTCCATGAGTTCTCTTTCTGTCTATGTCCACCTTTCGGACTTAGACTTTCTAGTTAGTTATTAGTACATTAGTTTGAGGTTGTAACCCTTCTTGTTTAGATTTATGGATCTTGTTAGAGTTTTGGTACATTAACTTTTAGGTTCTAGGATTTACTTCCGCATTTGTTTAGTTGTTAGACTATTGTTTTGGAGTTTATGGGAACTCCCTATTTCTTTCCTTAGCATTTAACTTGTTTCTGTAACTTAAATGTCTTAGTATTTTGATTTAGTTGGTTAGCTAATTAGCATAAATGGTTCTCCCACCGGAGGATTAGTGTGGGTGCCAATCACGATGGTCTGAGTCGTGACAATTATTCAACTACCAAACAACC